CTATTGAACATCTTAAAGGTAAGTATGATTATCAAGAATTAGACCGTAATTAGATCATTGCTAATCAAAAGCTCACTTCAAAATATATAAATATAGATTTAAGGTAAGAAGTAAGTGATTTATATTTATTGCATCATTACTATCTGAGCTGTCAAACATTGAGTTGAGTTTGACATCGAAACGCCTTCTGCATTATCTTCTGAACGATTTTGGACAAATGGTGACAAAAATGAGTGAAGTTGAAAATAGTTTTGGACCTTTAGAAAAACTATTGGACATTAGATTATTGATCTCAACCCTATATTTAAAAAAAAAACTAGTAATAAAGGTTACATATAACTTACTTTTCAAGGTGAAATTTGAGAAGAAAAATGAATAATACCTTCATTAGTTAGAAAAATTATAAGAATGAACTCTTTAAATGATAGACGAAGAAGAGAAAATTAATATCTAAAGAACAAAAACTATATACTTTAAAGAGAGACATAATAAAACCAAATATAATTGATTAATGAAACAATCTCAAACCATTGGACCGTCTAAAACATGGTACAATTTAGAAACTTTAACAAAATTTTACTAACTAATCTTCGCAACTTATATAAGAATTATCACAAGTTTATAGTTTAACTTAATAATACCATTCGAGAAGAAAATATCAAGCCATGTTGAAAAATGACAAAAAAAATTAAAGAAATTAGGTATTGGAAATAAACGAGGGTTGCTCTTGATTTTGTGATGACCTCACTCTTGCATGCAATTCAAATTTCTGCACACCTAATCTTCCTATGTAATACCCACTTGTAATTTTTATATTAATTATTTAATATTTAATATTTAATATTTATTTCTAGAAGGAAAAAAAAGAAAAAAGACTGAGACGGCAAGCAATCCCTTTGTGTGTATACTGTAGGAATTGCCAGTGTGGTCACTTGCCACTCACTCAGGACGAAATCAAACAATTGATTATTTTAAAATATAAATGTATTTTACAATTTTAAAAAATCATTTAACTATTTTATTTTATTTTATTAATTTTCGTCATCAGTTTAAATCTCAAGACAACGCTAATCTAAAAGGGTGGGTACGAGTAAAACCAGCTTGGCACAGCAGAAAGTAGAACTGAGAATCAATGAGTCTTCAAAAAGACGTGGTTTTTGCAAAATGTGCGCCATTTAAACGCAATTGGAACTAATATATTAATCTCAGTAATTAACAATAATATATAAAGCCACCTAATGCTAATTCTAATGTTAATGATAATACCATTTTCTAGTTGTGGCTGCTTACAACTTACAACATTGTAGGCAGTGTCGTACATACACACATATATCATATTCTTATTATGTTATTGCTGCATGAATAAAAACAAGCAATATCCCAATGTTCCACAATAATTAAAATATATTTGTAATTTTGTTCTCAAATATAGAAGAAGACTCTGTCTCTGTCTCTGTATCTGTCTTTGTCTCTGTTCGTCTCTCTGAAGGAATCGCTAAGGATCACATTCTTTTCAAGTTTAATTTCTGCTTCTGGGCACCTCTAAAAGTTCTCTGCTTTTTTAGGGTTCCTTTGATTCTTAATTGGATTGCAATTGGGTGTCTCACTCTGCTTTGCCCAATTGATGCCACTGTAGTTGTTCATGGTAAGACTCATTAGCAGCATGCGATTTTGAATAGAATATCAAGGTGGATCTTTTTTTCTTCGGAAATGATGAACACAGGTGGGGGGTTTGTTGAAACAAGTGTTTTTTCTGGGTTGGGGATTGTATCATGTTGGAAAATTAGTTCAACTTGTGTGTTGGAATGAATTCGGACAAAGTTTTTTTTTGGGTGGTGGGTAGGTGTGGTGTTAATATAAATTCTTAAATCCAAGGTTTTATGTGATTTTCATTAATCCAATGGTGCATTTTTCTCGTTAGTTTAAAAAAGTTTCGATCTCTGGAGCTTTTATTTTTGTCATTACTGTTTTCCTGATTTATCGGTGGCTTTAGTGACAGTGGTGTGAAGCTGTGACAGGACATCAATTAGTGCAAGAAAGAGATATAAAAAATGCCAATGTTCCTTTGCGTTTCTGCAATTGTAGCTTGTTTGGATTTCTTTGGAAAGCCCTTACTCAACTCATGATTCTCACTTTTTTCAAACTTTTCTCCTGCTATCTTCTCCAATTTTATGAGCCGAAACTTTTTCCTTGAAGTTTCTTTATCCTTAGGAAGTTCTCATGCGGGTTGTTGCTTATGTTGGGTTTGTGTTGTTGGTGTAACGAGGTGCACGGGGGGAGTGTTACCTTTAGTTTTACTATAACCAATTCACTATTCATGCCTATTGCAATCTTTTGAAACCTTTCCCTTGTCATCCCAATCAAGAATTGGCACGGACCACACTTGTCGTGTCTCATGCCGTTCTTGTGATCTAGTTGCTTTTATGTCTATATTTTTTTTCCTCAACCTCACGTTTCTCCCTGTGAATTTTTGGAACAGAGAATAGCAGAACTTTTTACCTGACCAGTGAAGAGTGAACTGCCAGGGCAAACGACAAGGTTAGTTGGATAAATCCTTGGTGCTTATTTTTAATTACGAGTTAAGATTACGGAATGAGGAAAATAAATAAAGAAATCAGAATCATTATTGCTGCTGAAAATGGCCTAATAAAATAACTCAATGCTGTCAAATAAATTAGATTTCAGTTTTAAAATAATATTGGAGAGCCCTGGTACAACTTAAAATGTATTGCCGCTCGTGAGTAACCTACTACCACTTCTTTGTTGGTTGACATTTAATTACTCATGTTAATGGCTTTTTACTGTTAGTTTACCTCTAAGTTTTGAGTATTCTCTAAGCTTTTTGAACTTTGATTGATGAACAGTGATCTTTGTTTCGCGAATAAATCTGAGACTGATACTTGTATCTCTCTGTCTCTTAATGTCAGAGACAATAGAAACTCGTTGTGTGCACAGAAGCACTAAATTTTTGGTGGTGATTCACTGTATCTTTTTTTGTATCAGCTGGTATAGTACTCAGGATATGGGCTGCTTCGTCTCCACTCCAAAGGATTCTAGTGGGAATAGAAGAAGACCAGGGAGTATTGGGGAGGTTTCTGTGTATGTTCCCGGTCTAAGAATTCCTAAACCTGTTGATTTTTCCCTGTCACTTGGTGATTACTTGTCCAAGAATATAGTGGAACGCCTGTCTGCGCTTAGAACTCGTATAGTTGTAATGGCTGGTCAAGAAGGGCCCACAATTACAAGAACAAAAAGGAAAAGTGCCACCCAACATGGTTAGTGCTAGCAAGGATGAATCATTTTATAGTGAATGAGTTGCTCAAATTTAATGATGCATCACAAAATTTCATCCTCAGGAGGTTCAACATTGGCTGATCTTCAGCAGGCTCTTGAAGACTACTTGCCAGTACTTTTGGGATTAGTTGAAAATGGTAAAACATGTTTTAGCCTATTCATACTTGATGTATGTTCTCTCCACAACTTGTCCTGATTAATCACTTATCTTTATTATGCAGGAAGCCATTTACAATACAAAATACAATTTGGTTGGGTGAATCAAGAGGATGATGCAGAGGTAATCCCTACTTTTTTGATTCATGTGTTTCTGCTTTGATTTGTATGTTTATCTGTATACAATATAATGCTGATATTTTTCTATCTGCTCCACTTTTTGTTTGTTTGCTGCTGCAACTGCTTTTTTCCAGGAAACAGCCATGTCAAATGCCTGGTATGAGGTGTTGTCAGTTTTGCACTTGATGGCTATGCTATCATTATCACAAGCCAATTTATTACTTCTTCCCAGAGCGTCCACTGATGGTCATCAGCCAAAAGTATCAGAAGGTATTAAGATTTTTTTTGGCACATGTCAACATACTCCTTGTAACTTGCCTGGTAATCTTATTGGTTTTTACATCAAACAACCAAAATACATTGGATAAAAATAATTCCAATTGGAAACACCAGTAGAATATCTTGTGGTTTTCTGTTAATCTTGTTTCTGCTTTGTGTGTGTGATTTTGTGGTTACATGGAATCTGTATTCTTCAATGACTAGTGTTTACTAATTTATCCGTTTCTATTTGAAGTTTGACGAAAGATAATTCTCTCTTTCTTTTTTTGTTCTGTCTTGTTTTTTCATAGCCTATCAGTAAATAGTTCATTGCAGTTCTTGGTGTTCATGTCTAGTTATCATAATTTGGCATGGAAATTTCATCATCTTATTGACAGAATATTACAAAATTTCATGAAATTTTTTTTACATGTTCACTATATATTGTGTTAGCTGATTAAATGGAAACAAATTTTTAATTGTCTTATATGCTGCAATGCTCTGTTTCTAATGATACTGCTTCACAGATACCTTTATGTATATTATTCCTATTGGGAAGTTTGAGCTTTTGGTTATTTACTGACAGAAAGCAGACGAGCTTCTGTTGATATCTTCCTAAAGGCAGCTGGGTATCTTGATTGTGCTGTAAGGCATGTTCTTCCACAGTTGCCTGCCGAACTCAGGTTTGTACACATGTAATATCATCAGTTGACTTCACAGTTTTTTGGAATCTAAACAACCATCTTTATTTTTATTTTCTTTTTATCACTCTTCTCACTGTTAATTTGATTTTAGGAGAAATTTACCAGTAGACCTTGCAGAAGGAGTTCTCCGAGCACTTTGTTTGCAAGCATTGGGGCAGGTATTATATTTTTTGCCTTGAAAAGAATTATGAACTGAAAGCCATTACAGTAATCGATGTTTCTTGAATGTTGTAAATATTTATGGAGCCAATCTTCTTATCCATCATTCTTTTGCGAAGTTATGTTGCATTTTCGAGAAATGATTAATGGAATTAGCTTTGCGAAGTTATTTATACATTTGCTATTAAAATCGGGAATGGACCAGGCCTAACTCAATCCAAATATAGCTCAAAAGAAAGGATTACCCAAGTCAATATAAAAGATCCTTTGTCTTTTAGGCATTTTCTGGGACAGTGTGGAATCTTAATACATTCCCATTATGCACAAGTTGGACATTTGGGATGTGGAGTTTTCAAGAGTGGATATTTGATGGTAGCCTAGCATCAAATAGGCTCTAATATTAAATCACAAATCCACTACTTAAAATGCTTAAGTTGTTTGAAGGAGGCTCATTAATGTTTTTTGTACTTTTTAAATTTCTTACTCTAGTCTACCTTGTACTGAAATTTGCTTTATATTTAGAAGAATATGGGAATGTCTGGTCAAAGTGTAGACTACTTACTCACAAACTAAGACTTTGATACTTCCCCATAAACTAATTTGGCCTTAAGAATGGACTATGCTTGACTTAACCTCCAAAGCTTGCTTAAGTAAGGAATTGACACATTCTTGATGTCATAAACTTGACATATGTGAGTGCACCATCATTATTGGTGGGATAGGGCTTAGATATTCTTGGGAAGTGTGAGTTTTAGGTTTAACTTAATCTCACATAACACCTTGTTACACCAAGGATTGAACATGGGTGATCGATAGTGGGTGACATGATATGGCCTAACAAACTTTGTTGGGATAAGCTCTGATACCATCTTATAAAGTGTGGGTTTTAGGCCTAATTGAATCTCACAACTGAGTTGTGGGGTGAGATTTGTATCCATTTGTATATCTTTAGTCGATATGGGATTGTCAAAAAATATCTTATTTTAAACCAACTAACCTAGAAGCTTCGGCTATTGAGTGAGAATACATAAACGTTTACTATTTTTATAATGCTGACATCTATCTTAAAATTGCTCAAATCATTTGCTTTATGTTTAAGTTTGCTAGACTGCATTACTTAATAACAATGCTACAATGCTTGAGTTTTTCTTCTTGTGAATAATAGTGGCATGTCACGGGAATTGTTATGCTTGATGTAAAGAGAATAATACAACGACAAACAACCTTGTTCTATTAGATGATGCAATGAGAAAATAGTAGAACTAATGACCAAATATTATAAGTCTAGTTTTATGCTTCGTATATTTTTTTATTCTTTTCTTTTATGAAGATAAAACTGCCATTGTAATCCGAGAAAAAGGGGTTATGGGCCCAAGATAATCTGTTCTTGCTTAGAGTTAGGCACATTTGCCAACAATGTGAGCACCATTCAAATAGAGGTTGAAGTAAAAATTCTGTGCTTGACAAATGCTTTTTTCACTTAAAATCTGTTACTATTCTTCAATTTAATCTTCCACATAGGTGGGTCATTCAAAGGTTTTTGGTCGAGCAGATTTCAGACATTTCCTCTTCCAAAAGCTTACAGAAATACTGAGAGTGGATATGTATAAATTTGCTCATAGTAAGGCTAGTAACATAAAATATTTCATTTTAAGCTTGTAGAAGAGTAATAGACAGAGTTCTTATGTTGAGTAATTGAATCTGAGAACCATGTGTTTGACTTTTCAGTATATTAGTTCATGCCTTTGTTGCCATAATCTAGGAGAATGAATTGGCAAAGGTGAAAATAAAGGAGTAATAATCAAAGAGTTGGATTTTTAGCAGGGCAATTGTTGAAGGAGATATTGTTACAGGGTGTATCCGCTGTTTTGTGACGGAGGTTAGGTAGACCAAATCTTAATTAAATGATGGTGTTCGAGTCACTATGTTCTTATTGTGTGACTATAAATTATAGTTTTTAGTCTAGTGGTAAATTGTTAGGTTTCCTATCATAAATGGTGGAGAAAGATATGTTTGTCATTTTAGTATTTGCCTCAAATTTCAAGTCAACTCTTAGGTCAAATGATATTTAAATTATAAATTAAAATTTTATGAATTGAGGGTGAAATTTAAAGCTAACAACGGACAATAAGGGGGACATTGTGATTTGTGATTACAATCATTGTGTAAATCTCTGAGGGTTGCTATCATTTCAATTGAATTCATTTTGTAAATTGCTTTGGATTTTGTATTAATTACCATATATGATTAAAAGTTTTAGATCTAAAGATGCATTTTTCCATTTAAGAATTTGTGTAATTCAAAACCGTAGTTGAGTATATATGACTCTCCTACCTGGGGGTAATGCCATGTAAAACGTTAACAACACTGCATAGAAGACTGGAGAAGCGGTTCAATATATAGATTTAGATACCTTTCCCACACTCTCTATCTCATATCTATTTTGGGTATACTTGTTTGTTTTTCTGTTTTAATAGGGTGTAGATATCCAACTTGGAATGGCAATTGATAGTACCAAAGCCACTCTCGCAGTGAAGCGTAGACTTGCATGTGAGATGGTGAAATATTGGCAGCAGGTACAAATGCAGAGTTTTCAATTGCTATAATTAATGCATTTCAAATATTCATTGACATATCTAATGGAGTTATGGGAACCTTCATTTTATTGCTGGTGCATTTTATATTTGAACATTCCATACAAATTTCTCTTTCCTTTTTTCCAGGGTGGGGTGTGAGGTGTGTAAAGAATTCTAGAACCTAGGAGTTGTACTTGTGCATGTGACCTTTTCTATATAAATTCAAATCCAAATACAAGTTCTTTTAACTGTACAAATCTTAATTCAAATGTAGTGACTATTATTGTGTCCTGTGGAACAATTTCTTTTCTGGTTTTGCATTGTGTACGTTCTCTTAGAATAGATCCTGTTCCGTTGATAAATTTGTTGATTTCTTTCTAAAAGAATTTCAAAGCCAAGTAACTAACCTGCAGCTGTTCATTCTCAATTTATCTTTTATTCTTTTTCTTCCATACCCAATTTCTGATGGCATCTCCAACATGTTTCTCTTGGTTCTGGAACAATAGCATTTTTTCCCTTAGACAAATCTTTGTTTTAATTCTTTATACCCAGTATGAGTATGGATATGTGTTCANGAGCATGTGACCTTTTCTATATAAATTCAAATCCAAATACAAGTTCTTTTAACTGTACAAATCTTAATTCAAATGTAGTGACTATCATTGTGTCCTGTGGAACAATTTCTTTTCTGGTTTTGCATTGTGTACGTTCTCTTAGAATAGATCCTGTTCCGTTGATAAATTTGTTGATTTCTTTCTAAAAGAATTTCAAAGCCAAGTAACTAACCTGCAGCTGTTCATTCTCAATTTATCTTTTATTCTTTTTCTTCCATACCCAATTTCTGATGGCATCTCCAACATGTTTCTCTTGGTTCTGGAACAATAGCATTTTTTCCCTTAGACAAATCTTTGTTTTAATTCTTTATACCCAGTATGAGTATGGATATGTGTTCATTAGTTTGCTAACGTGAGTGCATTTACCAGAATACATAACTTTATTCACGCTTTTCATTTTGCAGGCTCAAGATAATATTATGAACCTTCCATTAGCAAATGGTTGGGGTGAAAATCATCGTCTCTTTGTGAAATGGAAGTATGTTGAGGCAAAGGTTTGTGTTTTTTCTCCACAGTTATTTGTATTTTCCTGTTTTATTATTGTGAATTTCTTTATATAGTAAAAATAGAGTGGAATTTTGTGGTTACTGGCTGCCTTGTGCTTATAAATGCAGTTGAAGCTATTTGATTCATTTTTATATTTTATGCTCTTAATCTTACTTTATGAGACCTTGAACGGCACAGCTACTTTTGTATATGGTGTTTCTTTTGATTTTAGCATACTCATGCACAGTTTAGGAACAAGCAAAGAAGATGCCTTTGGCATAAGCAAGTGATGTGAAGTTATTCATATGTATATTGTAATGATTTCTAGGCTGCAGCATATTATTATCATGGATTGATTCTTGATGAGGGAAACACGGAGAAATCTCATGGAATGGCCGTAGCTGCTTTACAAGCTGCTGATGAGTATTTCAAAGAAAGTAAGAAGCTGTGTGAAGCATTTCATGCAGCACCCCCATTGTCAAGGTTATTCACAATATTCCCTTAAAGAAACTGATTTGTTTTTATACTGTTATGTTATGTTATCTTCAGAAAAAAAGAGTTATACTAATTTTAGAACCTCCTTGAGCCAATATTTAAATCACGAGTCATGTATGATATATAAAATGTTAGCATCCTTAACTATGTTTATCTCTTTTTTGAATGAATATGCGGTGAATTCCACTTCATCAAGTTATTTACGAGCTGAACCTAATCACTGAGATGTCATGCCAGGGTGTTGATTCATTCATCTTTCAAACTATAAGAAAACGTAGTAGAAATAGGCTAAAGAAGACTAATACTAAATTCTCCAAAGCAATAACTTCTAAAAATTAAAGGCCTTTTTTGAAATGTAAAAGAATTGGTTAATGATAATTTTTTTAATGTGCTGAGAAATTTGACTTTTTCTTATAAGTGCGATGTAATTTTATCATGAGTTTGGTGTAATTCTCCATGTTTTTTTTCCTTTTTTTTTAATAAAATCTTCATATAATGGCAGCTATGCCTAGTATGAATTCATTTTAACGTTCTGTTAAAAGAGAAAATCATTTTTGGCTGTAGTATTATTTTTCATGGTCCATCTAACTGGCAGTAATGGTGCAGAAATCCACCTCTTTGGGGGACAATGAAATATCTTTTTGAGAAAATTCCAAAGGATACTTCAAGCAAGGTGCGAGTAAACCGTGATCTGTATACCTATGAGAGGTAAACTTTAGTGCATCAGTAAATTGTTGCATAAATGGAATTTCATAGTTGGTAATGATTCATGGTTAGTGAAAAGTGAAGTAGATGACTGATAAAATCATGCGTTTTTGTGTCAATGTTTATTACAGAATCATGGAAACAGCACCAACATTGCCTGATTTTGCCTTGGCTTTAAAACCAGATGAATATCAACTTCCTCAGGTTGATTCCTCTTGGAAAACAGAAAATGTGAAAGGGGGACAAAGTGGTGCCACAAATAATCTCAATGGATGATGACAAATGAAAATTGATTAAACCATATAAATTTGCAGATCTCAGATGTCAGCTTATCAGAAAAAAGGATGCCAATCAACTTGAAGCTCAAAAGGGTGATTGTCGAATGCTTTGTCAATAGTTGAAAATTAACTATTTACCTTTTCCCTCGTTTTTTCTCCATAAATTGATTCTCTCCTCCACAATATTTGAAAAAAGAAGGCCTGCAAGTGGAAACAGAGCTTCAAGTTGGGTTAATGTAAATTGTTCACTTTAGGAAAAAAAAAAAGGGTTTCCTTGCCAATACCCCAAATAATATGATCATTACTGTTTTGGTTATGCGTCAAATCAGTCAAATCCTCCATTTGTCAAACAAAGTTGTACAAGTGATTGTGTGTATAGACTTGTGCATTGCAGAGAAAATATGGTTGCCTTAAGGTTGTGTTAAAATTCGGAAGAATTTATGACGTGCTAAGGTGATCTAGATACGTTAATAGCATTCTTGACAATTTAACAATATGAACTTGACATTATATCAAACATTGGTGTGCCATGTCTATTCTATCAAACATTTTATCAAANCTCTTGGAAAACAGAAAATGTGAAAGGGGGACAAAGTGGTGCCACAAATAATCTCAATGGATGATGACAAATGAAAATTGATTAAACCATATAAATTTGCAGATCTCAGATGTCAGCTTATCAGAAAAAAGGATGCCAATCAACTTGAAGCTCAAAAGGGTGATTGTCCAATGCTTTGTCAATAGTTGAAAATTAACTATTTACCTTTTCCCTCGTTTTTTCTCCATAAATTGATTCCCTCCTCCACAATATTTGAAAAAAGAAGGCCTGCAAGTGGAAACAGAGCTTCAAGTTGGGTTAATGTAAATTGTTCACTTTAGGAAAAAAAAAAAGGGTTTCCTTGCCAATACCCCAAATAATATGATCATTACTGTTTTGGTTATGCGTCAAATCAGTCAAATCCTCCATTTGTCAAACAAAGTTGTACAAGTGATTGTGTGTATAGACTTGTGCATTGCAGAGAAAATATGGTTGCCTTAAGGTTGTGTTAAAATTCGTAAGAATTTATGACGTGCTAAGGTGATCTAGATACGTTAATAGCATTCTTGACAATTTAACAATATGAACTTGACATTATATCAAACATTGGTGTGCCATGTCTATTCTATCAAACATTTTATCAAATAGTATTATAATAAAATTTGTTCAATGCATATGGAGGACCATTTCCTTGTTTTAAATAACAACTTGAATTGATAGGAATCCCTTTATATTCTAGATTAATTGTGGTTTTATTATTGCAAATAGTTTTATTCATATTTTTGGTATTTATTGAAATGTTAGAACTGCTATTCTGATTGCGCCTCGTTAAAAATACTATCAGACTATTTAAAATATATTTATAGAAATTAAGAATTAGAGTGAGAATAATATAATAAAATTGGTTCCTACTGAGTACTACTTTGATGAAATCTTAAATATCAAAACAGCGTGGAATGGAGGGAACAGATTGCACTTGTTAATGCATGATACGATAATTATGTATTTTAGAATTTAACATCTAAAGAGATTTCTTGTGTTTAAAAAAGATTTTAATAATTATATAAGGTGATTTAAATTTTTTTACACATTCCATCAATTCAATTTATCATTGATATGAATTTTAAGATAGCTAATGTAAAATTGGACAAATTTAAATTTATCATGTTTTTCTTTATAGACAACAATATATAGTTACCTAAAATATAAATCGATTTGTCAGTTTTAAGTGGAACATTAATTATTGAAAGAGCAATGATATTTTAATAAAACTGGTTCAGTAAATGAAGTATTTAAGGTTGGTTTTAATCTATGAGGAGAAAAACTTCAAACTATAATCATTAAGGCATTAATTAAATTGAAGTAATTAAGCGAAAAGACTGAATTATGATTTTAATGATTATATAAGGTGATTGAAAATTTTTTACACATTCCATCAATTCAATTTATTATTGATATGAATTTTAAGATAGCTATTGTAAAATTGGACAAATTTATCATGTTTTTCTTTATAGATGACAATATATTTACCTGAAATATAACTTGACTTCTCAGTTTTCAGTGGAACATTAATCATCGAGAGAGTAATGATATTTTAGTAAAATTGGTTCAATAAATGAAGTATTTAATGTTGGATTTAATATAAGGGGAGAAAACACTAAAATATTTAAGGCTTTAATTAGATTGAAGTAATTAAGCGGAAAAACTGAATTATGAATGGAGTATATTTTTAACATTGTTGAAGTAATTCTTGTTTTGATTCATATTATATACTAGAATTAGTGATACACAAGCAAGTGAAAGGGCAATGAAGGCAATATCAACTTTATGTAGTGTTGTCAAAACAGATCATCTGGCTCAATCTGGTTCGGTCCATCACGTGTTGATCACTTAGTGAATTAATCCAACCGAGTTCATTTATTAGCAAGTCGAAAAAATTCAAAATTGGCCCGACCTACCACGGGTTGGTGGGTTAAACGAGTTGACTCACTGATTCACTTTATTATAACTTTTTTAAAATAAAAAAAAATTATAATTTTTTTATAATTCAAATTTAAATAAATTTCACTCTAAAATTATGTTAAATTCCAAAGATAATTAAAAAAAATAACATACAACTCAAATGTAATCCAGAAGCAAACTCAAAAAGTAATAAATAAGTTTATAATATTGATAATTTTTGTGTCACTTATCCATTTATAAGATTAGAATTTTGAATAGATAAATTTATAATATTATCCATTTATAAGATTAAAATTTTGAATGGATAAATTTATAATATTTTGATTTTGGTCTCTTTGAAACACCTTTTTCTTTATTCTCATTTACAATATAATAAAAAAATATTAACAAATAATATTGAAACGTAAAATAATTAATAATTAAATTAAACTAGGTAGGTTGGTAGGTCCAACCTAGATGAGCCAGATTCTAACTAAACCAAGTTGAAAATTGATTTGTAAAAAAAAAAATTATTTTTTTCAAATTCAATCTGATCCAAAATTGTAGTGGGCGAAATTGACCCGCTAACCTATTTGGAGAGCATTAACTTCTTTTGATCTTGGTGGTGTACTGATTCGTCTGCTACCCTTTTGTATTTATATATGCTTTAAACTAATGATATTAAAAATGTAAAAGAGGTATTTTTTATATGAACTCAAAAGTACCTTTGTTTCGAACACAATTTTTTTGAAGTTACTAAGAAAACTTATCTATGATAATTTCAGATTGTATAATATTTTCAAAAGTTTAAACAAAAACATTGGTGTTTTTTAAATAAATAAATAATATAGTAATTTTGTGTTTTCTAAATTTGAACATGAAAAATTAGAGCATTATTCATGCATCATTCATTCTGAGTATATGTTCCGTAAGTTCAACCCATTCTATATTTTATAACTGTAAATTTATTTACTTTCATTAATTATAGCATTTTATAAATTCCATAAAATATATGATAATTAAACCCGAGAAAATTCCTTTATGTTATTTTTCTCAAAGAAAATAATCTTTATATTAATATAATTTGTCTACCATTCTTTTCAAATCAATAGGTATACATTATAGTTTTGATATTCTTTTAATTTTTATCTGCGATTCAAATTTTCTTTAACTATTTTGATTTTCTAATATAAAAAAAAGTATAATTTTAACTAAATAAATCGTTAACTTATATGTTCGTTTGAAGTATTATTAAAGAAACAATTTGACTAATTACAACATAACATAAAACATATTTCGAAATTAAATATTCGATGAAATGAAAACATTTATTATTATTATTATTATAAAGTTGAGTAATATTAAGGATAATCCACAATAGTATTTGATAATATTTTGACAAAGAACACATGTTAAAATGTGAGTGGTGTATATGGAAAACAATTTAAATAAATGAAGATGACGTGAAAACAGAACTAAAGCAGGGTTTCAAGTTTTGGAGATTCATTTTCTCTTTTCAGAATTTGAATGTAAGGAAGTTTTGAGAGAGAGAGCGTGCGAACCCTAGAGTTCCCTCTTCCCATCCCTAGAGTCCCTCTTTCCTCCACCCAGTCATCCACTGCTGCGTTTTGAACTACCGCGTTTACCCCAGTCCGTCATATCAAGGGCTGTATTTTCTAAGAAAAATTACGTAATTAACTAACTATACACGTATACTTAAAATTGTTTACAAAAGTCATTTAATAAGAAAAGCTTATTCAAAAATATCAAATCTCGTTCTTTAATAACAATTAGAAATTATTGCAATCAATTTTAATTATTTAAAGTTGTTGATAATCATTTAGTAAATTTAAAAAACAAAATCATTATGAAATTGATTTAAAAAACAAAATCATTATGAAATTGATTTAAAAAACAAAATCATTATGAAATTGATTTAAAAAACAAAATCATTATGAAATTGATTTAAAAAACAAAATCATAGCATTACCGATTTCTCAAAGCAATTGGTAAAAAGAAATTTAATAGCCACTTGAGAAATCAGGTCCTCACCAGCTCATTCCTCAACACACAGTAAAACGGCCTATTTATGATTATTTGGTAAAATATTTATTAAAAGAGAATATTTAAAAAAAAATATCATCAATGCTGAACATTGAGGTACGAATATTTAAAACAATCCTCTGTTTCCACAATGGCCAGGGTACATAAAAGAGGAAAATAAATTAAATCTTCCCATATTTGAGTAGTGTTATGTATAAACTAATTGATACAACTATCAGAATCCCAGGGATATTCACCTCTACAAACAGATCTAATATACTCAAACTTGTTCATGGAAAGAGAAGTGAATGATACGAAATTCACTATACATTGCTAAATCTGTGTCAGATTCCTATTCTTTATGCGTTAATAACACGCTTAAATGGAACAGGAGTTCTCAAAATATTGCTTCCATATCTTTCAGTTTCCGTAACAAATTGCAATCTACTCTGCTGTGCCATTTGTATCATCTCCTTCAGTCAATTGTTTTTGCTTCTCTTGTTCCACTGTCCAACAAAAGCATTATAGTGACTCCAAATTTCATTAGAAGGCACAAAGACTACACAAGTAATTCAGATGAAGTAGTGTTTACAATGAAACTAACACAAACAATAGAAAAACAAAGAGCAGTTCTCTTATCCAACTAAATAGAATATAGATAAATTATTTGCATATTTATGGCCAGCGGAAACTGTTAGAATTATTGGTTACTGTGTATGAGTTATGTGTGTATGAGTTGTGTTCAAGTGTGTTCCAACTAAGAGTGAGTTGGAAAGGAGTGAGTTGGAAAGGAGTGTGGTTAGTTACTTTGTTTTCTATAAATGTAAGTGTAGAGGTGTTTAAGACCTCAAGTAATACATATTCCTGTATTCCATTTTAACAGAAACGAAAGACCCTATAAAATTTGCAATTGATAATACTAAATTTACTACTCGCATATACTAGATTCACATAGTACCTAGATGGCATCCTGTGACCGTGTCTCATGTCATCTATGTATCCAACCTAACTTCACCTAGAGGAATAAGACATCTGTTAGTATTAATTTTATTGTTTAGGCCAAGTTATTAGATTCTTACCGTTTGTGTTTCGAATTGCATGATTTGCAAGCTAATAATTAATAATTACATATCATTTGATGAGTCACAAACGATTTTCAATCATGCAAATGTGCATGAGTTGACGTGATTCTATATCATTGATATGAATTGCACGACTCATGATTTTTTCTAGAAAGTAAAAATTCAACTTTAAATTGTAAGAAGAGATTGAAGGAGCACTACTAAGGCCCCATTATTTGGTTACACCTAGCTTTGTTATCAATTTTCTGAAGCTAAGAAATTCAAGCAGTCACTCAACGTATCCTAGTTGGTTGTTTGCCATCCTTTCCGATTAGGTTTGGGGGAAAATAAATCCAAACAGAACTGATCCAACCTAATCCATTTAGGTTTGGAAATCACCTAATTGAGTCAGCTATACATTTTTTATTTTAAAATTGAAAAAATATACTACGGGGA